GCTTATCACAGAAATTTTTGGATTTATGCTCAATATTGAAGCGTGGTCTGCGCTACACACTAGATCTAGATATGGATGAGGCGGTGAGGAAGTGGGGGCAAGTTTAGTCCGACGACGGAGGGACATGAGGGCCAAAAAGAGCGGGGATTTGAAACATTGTCTAGCCTGTAAGGTGAAAAACAAAAAAAATGAACCAATTAATCGAATCGTATCGTTGTGCATTCTTGAGTATCGAAAATAATCGAATCGTTGGGTCAGGAAATCGATACTGAATCGAATTGCTATGATGGATGTGATTTACATCCCTAATACCATGACAAAACAATCTCAATGGAGATTTTTACAACGAGTAGATAGAGAAGCAGTTGAGCCGAGCAAGCATGCGAAACCAAGAGGAAGTTCAAAAAGAGAGCAGAAAAAGTTCAAGTAAACTGACCTACTTATTTGTCCTAATAATGGTTTATTAGATAAAAAAAAATTACATACACGTCTTTTTAATGTTCATGGAGGATTAAAAGTGTTTCCTGTATTTTACTTTATTCAGCTTATTTGCATGCATGAATTTTCGTTTTTTAGTGTTTTTATTATAGGCTTAGCACGTAATTATATTTTTCTGCTGCTAAATAATCTTACGATTTTATTTTACTGTGATATTAATATCAAAGTTATTATTATTATTATTATTATATGTTAGCTAGGTTATTAGCTGAGCTATCTTCTCCAGCTTCTAAATTCATTCTGCATATTTTTGACCGCTGTCTTTTTAAGTCAGCACTACTTAAAGTGGCCTGATGAATAATACTCCAGTAGTCTTTCAATGTTCTTTGTTGTTTTTTTGTTGTTGTGCTAAATCAAATCACAATATTCCAATTGCCGTGTTTACATGACGCACTTTTATCCTTATAGGCTTTTTGTTTTAAATGTGAACGTCCATTTATCTCCAACAGGCCTGCTGTTGGAGATAAACCTTCAGCTTTAGCCATCGCTTTTAAATTTCAACATTATGTGGATTTCTTTCATGTATGTGCATCCGTATCCAACCAAAGATCAGGCAGCCTCATATAAAATGCCAATAGGGAACTTTAAAAGCTGTAACGTTTAACTGAGTTGCTGCTGACTAAAATCTGCTTTTCATGTTGAAAATGACCCGTACATCCATCCAGTCAGTGGCCCCTTTAAGGTCAGCTTTAGCTTTTAGATTTATGCTGATTCCGAGATCTGGAAGCCAGTCAAATCCATCAGTCATAAACACATGAAAACATGTTTCTCTGTGACCCTGAATTGACAGAGACGCACACTAATCTGCTTAATCCATAAATGATAGAACGATCCTCGGCAGAGATGCAGCCTTATGTCGCGTCCCAGTCCTACATCACTTCCCATGTCTGAGCTACTACTGCCAATTAGCTGCTTCTATCCGAAGAACCATTTTCTCCTCGATGACGGGGGAAACTCATAAACCTCTGTATTGTCACATTTTTTTGTAGCACAGAAGAGTATAGCACTACCCCACAGCTGTGTTTGTATTTGGTCAGTATAAATTTAAGCATTAAAAGGATAATTTGTCTCAATTAAAGCTAATTCTGCCAACCTTTTTAAGATTGCACTCTTTAACTAGTGTTGGAAAAAACCTATAAGAGATGGGGTGAAAATATTGACCTTATATAACCGGCAAAAAAGAAGCATTCATGTTTTTTCAATTCAGTTTATTCATATAGCGACCATTCACAACACGTGTCATCTTAAGGCACTTTACAGAGACCACATTGATTCAGTTTTCTATTTAAGGAA